TACATACATATGTATATATATATATCCTTCTCTCTCTCCAAATTCTCCATACGGAATCATATATTTTTGAAATCGATATTCAGGCCGTTTGGAGAGGGGCACAGCCATTCCAGAAGCCGTCGGGCTAGGAGCTCAGCAGTGCATCAGATGGCCCCCCAATCGCAGGATTTTACCATTCCCAAACCGCGTCTCATCATCGTCATTCTCATCACATCCTGAAGGTAGTCGTGGTTTACCACAGACGGCTAGACCCTCAACTCATTCTTAAGTTAGGACTGCGAAATCGAAATTCAGCAGACGCAGAGCTTGGCGATTGGCCCTGTGTCCAAGTTGGTCACGATCAGCTGGCGAAGGTGAACCTGCGAAGAACGTCACAAGAGCAATTGCAGTACAAGTCATCTTTGTCCTCGCGCTAAGACCCATCGCCTTCAAAGCAAACTCTAATGCCAATGGCAACAAACTGAAATTACATGAAACAAAACGAACACTGGTGCACCAACCGTTTGCATCCTCCTCAAGGCTGCAGGACGTGCAAATATTGATTCTGCTCGCTAGTATGGCTAGTAAGCACCAATGTTTCAACTAACACTAGCTACCTAGAGGTCAAACACTCTGCCTGCTGTTACGACGAGTCGGGGGTGCTTCTTCCTGGAGGCGGGGCTCCCAGAATTCGACCCGAACAGCTCCGAACAACAAAAACCCAGACTGTTCCTTGGCCTTTCATAGTTGGCTCTGTCAGTCCGGTACAAATGAAACTAGCGTTGCAGCTCCACGGGAAGCTGCTCCGGTTCTCAGGCTGTGAAGCTTTATTGTAATACCGGTGGTCTAGTCCGACGTCCCCGGAACCCGCAGCTGCCTCCTGCGGCTCGGGCCATGCGATGTTCAGCTTCCGGATGGGCGTGGTGCAGGTCATGTAGGTGTTGTTTCGAACTGGGCAGCTGTGAGCAGCGAAGTCCGATACCAGTTTAAAGACTGTCCAGCATGTCAGCTCTTTTGCCATGACTCTTACAGTAGCGAGCCTTCGGGCTCCTCGCTGCCAAATTCGCTGGGTTGGGGCTTCTAGTATGCTTGGTTGACGAAGCTCGTTCCCTTTCCAGTGATTGTGTTCGTGTGCGTGTGCATGATGTATCCATGCATGCACACATGTATCTTTGCATCCGCGGGCGAATGATCTGTATATTTTATTGAACGAACATGAAGAATCCAAAGCATTAAAGACTGATGGTTCACTGCCGCATGAACATGTGTCCGGGCCCCCTTGCGCCGATGTTGGAAGCCAAGGGTGGCTTTGAAGATGGAGGGGTCGTCTGTCCACATGTCCGTGTCACTGTACCTGGGTGCACATGGCTTCAAGGAGCAGCAGGTCAGCATCGCGAACAATACAGCAACATCAAATAGAACATGCATCAGAGCGTGAGCAACGGAAACACGAAACGACAGCAGTGCGTACCGTACCGTCTTGCCAGAACTTAAACATGTTGCGTAGAAGATCACAGAACATGGATGTCTGTCGGACCTGAGACGCTCCGACACGACATCTCAGCAACATGATGTACAACGGAGTCGGAGCCAGCACTGCACTTCATCATTGGGCACCAAAAGCACAACCTGAGCCTGAGCCTACGTCAGGTCGCCCTGCTATGTAAGCTCCGGACCAAGTTGTTTCTTCCAAGCCGCCGTCGTCGGTGACGTTCAGGTTCACCTGGCTCCATACAGTGCCTCCAACACTACGACTTGCCCAAAGACTGGCCAGGATGTTTGTCAAAGGTTCAAGGTTTGAGGTTGCTAGCATTGGGATAAAAGTGAGGTTTTGGGGTGTATTCTACTATAACTAGAATAAGGAAGCCCCAAAATAGTGTTGGTAACTATTTTGGCCCCTACAGTAGATTTTCTTCGCTTCCCCTTTGTCAGGATTTGATCCTGGCAGCTCCGGGTTCAGGCAGCTCCTTCGGCCTGTCCACCAGGCCCTCGGAGCATACTGTAGGGGCCCATACTATTTTGGGGTTCCTTATGACAAATACAATTACGTATTCTAGACTCTGACAAGTAGTAAGACCCCCATGTTAGCTACGGAATCTTGGCCTCACAGGACTTCGCCGATCACCGTGGACTTAGGGCTCTTCGCCCACTAGCTGACTAGCTGCCGCAGCAGATTTTTGATCCTGGAAGGGGAATCCTTTTACAGCCATTATGCATGTGATTTTGGATGTTACATGAACTCCAAGACATGCCGAGCCGACGTGGGTATACTTGCAACCAGGATGGCCCAAGTTGAACCTGGGACAGTGCGGCTGCCACGGTGGTAACTTGATTTAGGAGCACGCCTTGATTTCGGGCCTCTTGCTCATGGTCACTTCGGGTAGAGAGTATAGAGGCAGCGGCACAGACATGAAGGGTACGCAGTGAACTTGGCACACCTTCTAGAAAAGTGCAGGCTCCGCAGCAGGCAGCATCATCCACCACGAAAACAAGAGAGCCTCCAGAAGAAGCCAAAGGCATGTAGACCGAGGGCCCCAATCCGGACATACGAACATCCCTCAGTCTTAAATCCTGCCGAGTGCTGCACGCATCAGCCCAGGTCGTGTAGGACTTGGGGGTGCCAGTAAGGGTGCCATCCAAGTCCCAGTAGACTTCCTGGTCTCTTCACTGAACAGAAGAAAAACACCTTTCCGTCACCAGAAGAGATTCCAGAGCAACTCAAAATCTGGAGTGATGCGACCTTGGCATTCTGCTTCTTAAAGCACATGGCCGGTAGCAACAACGATTCCCTCTCTTGAGACAGAGATTCCAAACTGTGGCCCCACGGCAGGCCTTCTTGTGGACGTTGATTCTCTTGGTCACATTAATGAAGCCTGAGCTGCAAGGAGCGCTTGCTCCGCACTTGACAAAGAAAGCTCCCGAACCCCCAGCAAGGCAATCCAATGAGAAAGGCATCTGCAGAGCTTTTGAAAACAGTTTAGCTGTCTGCCTGCAAAAGCGCCTGGCCTTCTGGCATGGCCGACGTTGAGGGACTTACATTATACTCTGGGACAAGCCTGTCGATGCCCGGCTGAAGTGTAATTAAACCAAACACAAGAGGAGCCCCTGTTTCCAGCTCATGTTACAGAACCATTGATGATCTAGCAAGACCCCAATCAGGCCCCCCCCCCTCCCCCTGCTAAGAGGCATGCCTTTAAGCAATGCCAAAAAAACATGTGCCAATACGAACCCATAAATGCAGCGAGGTAACTGAGACCCTCGGATCTGTACGTGTGGACGCCCTGACGCCACTTGGCAAGGGACCTCAGTAGCGGACCCCGGCCTTCCCGGGGTGCACTTACCTGTCGAGTGGGTACTCTGACTGCTTTCGAGGCTTTTCGGTTCTGATTTTTCGATTTTAACGATCGTTGAGTGCAAATTGGTCAGGAGTCGCAAGATGTCCAAAATGGGTACGGATGGTTTGTACCAGTACTACCGTAGAGAGCTGCACCTCGAGACACCGCTACTAGCAGGGACAGCTCTTGCGTTAACACTGAAAGCCTTGACCACCCCCAGAATCTCAAGACTTTCCTGCAACCTACTACCTACCCCGGTTCTCCTGACAAAACAACTGAGAATCGCGGCCAGCACTTGGTGCAGCCCTTGAAGACCGGCGTCTGGCCAAAAGCAGTCGGGTGGAAAAGGGAGGCTGGGTTGCACTGCGAATGCGGCCCTGGGGTCTCTTTGCTACCGTTCTGCGTGTCCCGTGGTGCAGCGAGCGGAAGTCGGAATGACTCGGACTGGGATGGAGTTACAGCGGCCGGTCATTGAGCAGCTCAGAAACGGAACCCTTGAGAGGCCTCACCCAAGTTCACCCACATGGAGTCTGCCGTGTAGAACTGCTCGTTCTGGGGCAACGAGATGGACCTCGTCTGAAACGCTGTCAACCACTTTCACTTCAGGCTTTGGGCCAATCGAAGTTCGCGTGGTTGTGTGCGGGGCAGGGGTGTTTTGGCTTTTCAGGGTTTCACAATTACAGACGGTAGGTTTAGCCAACTGCCAACAGGCTACAGCCTCTATTGTAGTACGCTCTACCAGATTGTGCGATACTGTACTACGAAACACGTTCACAACAGTGTAATCTCTCACCTGTAATGGGGACCCTACACCCTAAACCCATCCAGATCTTGGGAGACTTGTGGCGCATTCGAATCCGATGGCACTCCGAAGCCCAAACTCCGAGCTTTGAGGTCGCAAGTCTTACAACTAGGGCTATGGTTTAGAGCCAGTTTAGCGTTTAGTGGACCCCATGCCTTGAAGCTGAAACTCCAGGTACCAGAATACACGAAACCTGAACTCTGGGCCCCATCCCTCTTGTCCTTCCTTACATCCTTCTCCAGCCGAAAGAAACAGAGTTGGGGCCAGCACTGGCCCTGACTCGAGGACTTTTTGTGGAGATTCTGCGGCATCACGGCCGCAAACACGGAGTCCTCCGGTGACGGCAGATCTGGCACGCCACCATCACCTCTAAGCCTACCACTACCACGGCTGTCAATTATCATCGTTTCCCATGTTGTAGGCTAATCTGCGATGATGGAAAGCACGCCGACAGGAGTCCTTGATGTGAGGGATGTTCACAAAGTCCGTCTCGTACTTGCCACCATGAGTGACGGCTGCTGCACGCTTGAACTTCACAATGAACATGTCTTGCCTCAGGCTCGGTGAGAATCATGACATGCCGACTCCGAAAAGACGAGGAGGGCCCTTGAAGCACATGACTTGTAGATTTTCCCGAAACTTCGGAGCGCTTGCACGTATCCCTACACAAGCAAGTCTTGAAGCTTGAAGTGACGTAAATGTGCCTGCCTGATGCCCCTGGCCACCCAAGAAGGCTCGGCAAGCTCTTTTGACTCGGGACCGTCATCGAGATCCCTTTGTCCCGATGCGTCCCAACTCCGCCCCGAGGCCAGGGCCCTTTCGCCTCCACGGAGGTCATGTGGTGGTTGTGCACGGAACCCATCTTGGACGGGGTTGTGGGGCGTCAGGCTTGGGATTGGATTCTCTCACCTTCCTTCCGTCAGCTATCGCCCGTACAGGCCAAATCGCACGTGTGGGTCACGTCAGTTGGAATTTAGTCAGTGAGGGTGGAGGTGAAAGGGGCTAACACAAGTTTAGACTGAGCTACTGCTGCCGTCAGTCGTGCCTCCAGCTACGTAGCAGCGACAAGCAGGCCAAGAATACTAATGTCAGACATAGGTAGAGCAGCGCAGCTTCCCTGCCTTCTACAGGTTTGCTTTCGAATGTTTCGACCGGTAGCTCCACTACAAGTATCAACATTTCTACGGGTACCTCTCTTTCTATGACTATATTTTTCTGCGACCACCGACTTCTGCTACTGTTGCTACCACGGCTGCTGCGGCTGCTGCTGCTACTACCACCACCACCACAACCCGCACCAGCACCATGTCATGTTACTACTACTTCTCACTCAGCCCCGAACCTTCATGGCGTTGAAGCAAGCCTTTCCGACTTCCCAACCTGCAGTAGCTGGCCACGAAGTAGTATGGAAGTCCCGCTTCCACACTGGAGACACATCTGTGTCAACGATGCTTCGTGCGCGCCAAACTTGGCCATGCTGCCGCATGTCAGTAAAAAGTCACTCTGCTGCTGTGAGAGCAAGGCTGCCCTCGACGAGACAGCCGGACACAAGTTACGGATCATCTGGGCAAGAAGCATGTCGTGTTGAACAGGATCTGGGGATTCTCATCTGAAGCAGAGTTGCACGGCTCCTGCACAGAATCTGATCGCACTTCTTTGAGCCCTCTTACTGTGACCTGTGTGAATATGAAAAAAACGAGCATGACATTCAGGCGAAGAGGTTGCGCAAAGGCAGCATCCGCAGTCCTTGCGCGGAATCCAGGTCAAGTAGACCCGGATGCAGCTGCCTTGCGACGAGTCGGGAAATTCAGCGACAAGTGCGGCATTATGGGGCTGCAGAAGGAGGGCACGGGCGATCAATGGTGCATTATGGTGCAACCCGATACCTCAAACTCCAGATGTGGATCTGCGAGGACTGCCCGAGCGTCCGGCAGTGGCCAGTCATTGTTATTGTTGCTTGCAGACTCCACGAGAAAACAACATGTGAAGCTGTATCGAAAATGTAACAACCTTGTTGACATTGAAGACCAGCCACGGCTCACTCATGTGTGGGTGTGGTGCGCAGTTTTCGCGCGACATCCACTGAAAGTCCCGGTGCTGAGATGCCACTACACCAACTCACTCTGCTAGTTTTTAGCAGCCGTAAGCCAGTCGAGGCACCTCCATTGCACACTTGTCCTGGGGTTCTTGGCACACGCCGAAAGGGTTGAGAAGGCCCTTCTTAAGTGCCTGAAGACCTGGTCCAACTTTGGATGCTGCAACTGCCAGGTTGTTGGTCCAAGCGGGAAGCTCGCCAACTCCGAGCAATTGGCACCTAAGTTCTGCAAAGCGCATGCGGCAAGTATCAGACACATCTATGCTAACGATCCCTCTCACCGCATTGCAGTAAAGCATCAGGAGCGCTGATCAACGGTTGGCGCAGTGCATGTTCGCAGGATCTTTTCGATTCAGGAGCAAGGTAAGTTTTCTGCGCCTGGCGGGTAGGCGCAGTGCCGCAGTGCCTGTTGCAGTCTCGCAGAAGCGCACTGTGCGGGATATTTTCGGCTTGGGAGCACTCCCTGCCAATCGCACATTTTCTCTGGCAGGTTGGCGCAATGCGGGTTCCCAGCCGTGTCAACACATTTTGCAGTGCAGGCCTTCTCGTTTCCGGCAGATTGGCGCCGTGTGTTTTTCGAGCACGGATAAATGATTTTTGCCGGATCCTGTTATTTGTGGGGACGACGACGACTACCACCACTGCTACAACTACTGCTGTACCACTACACCCAATGCTACCACCACCACCACCACCACAGCTACCACTGCTACTACTACTACTACTACTACTACTACGACGAGAACTACTTCGAGAACTACTACTACTGCCCCTACTACTACTACTACTACTACTACTACTACTACTACGATTACTACTACGATTACTACTACTATTACTACTACTATTAGTATTACTACTACTACTACCACTACTATTACCACTATTACTACTACTACTACTACTACTACTACTATTACTACTACTATTAAAACTATTACTATCACCACCACCACCACTACTACTATTACTATTACTACTACTATCACCACTACTACTACGATTACTACTACTACTACTACTACTAGTACTACTACTACTACTATTACTACTACTACTACTACTAATAATACTATTACTACTATTACTACTACTACTACTAGTACTACTACTACTACTACTACTACTACTACTACTATTACTATTACTACGACTATTATTATTAGTATTACAACAACTACTACTACTACTCCTACTACGACTACTACTACTACTACTACTACGACTATTACTATTATTATTACTATTACTACTACTAATACTACTACTACTACTACTACTACTATTACTACTACTACTACTACTACTACTACTATTACTACTACTACTATTACTATTCCTACTACTACTACTACTATTACTATTACTATTACTACTACTACTACTACTACTACTACTACTACGACTACTATTACTACCGCCACTACTACCACTACCACTGCTACCACGACGATTTCCACTACCACCACCATTTCCATTACCACTACCACCCGTGCTGCTACTGCTGCTACCAATACTATTTTTTTTTACTACGCTGCCGGCGAGCCGGCTGTGCACGAGGTCCTGCGGGCGCACGGTACACAGCAGCTGCACTGGCATCGCGCTCGTACAGGCTGTAGAATCGAAATTGCGCGCGTGTGTGTGTGTGTGTGTTTGTTTGTGTGTGTGTGTGTGTGTGTGTTTGTGCGTGGAAAAAATAGTTCAATCAATCATGTTGTTCCAATTGCATGTTACAAGCATTGTGAAAGTCGGCAACGAAATGATTTGCAAGATAAGCTTGTGCTCTCATTATGGCAAGCTCTTTGGGCTTTTGCTGCGGGATATCCAAGAAGCACAAGCGTGGGTTTAGAGGCATTCGGCGTTGTTCACGCAGGCTTTAGATTGTCATGGCACGACAACGTGCATTCAGCAACTCAATTTTCTTCATTGTAATGTATTTCTTGAAGGTCCACAACAACGTCTGCAGCTCTCGCATGTACATGCACGTACCCAAACCCTGCATACATTCATTTACACGTCGTCCATCCGCCCAGGATGCCAATCCGAGAGCTTACTGAGTATAATGGGCAATATGATTAGCAACAGTGGCCAGCAACAGTGCCCCACTGTGGAGTGCAAGCTGTATACACATAGGTGAAGATAGAACTGTAACCCAATGCCCACAGCCGCAGTCTAGTTGATTGTCTACCAGGGCATGTTGCACACAGGCCTTGGACTGGTACGCCAAATGTGCCCCTTTTATTCAAGAGATATGATACCTTCATGCGAATTCGAGGTCATTGTAAAGCTGGTGCGAAGCAGTCTTTCAAATTCATGTTTCGTTGTGCGTTGTGCGAAAAGCGTCATCGTTCGGGCAACCGGAGCCAAGCACGAACCATTCAGGCCAGAACCCAACGACCCAAAAAATCGGCGAAGATCCGGGAGACAGGAGTTCCGTCAGGAATCGGTAAGCCCTGAACCTTCAATGTGCTCCTTCAAATTGGATTCACGTTGACGTTGCGTGTTTAGGGTTTCGGATGCGCATGCCGGTATGACACGGAGTATGTTGAATGGACGAGGGATGAGCCGCACATACGGCTTTCCTGCCGGCCATGACTCGATTTGGCATTGGGTCTTCGTTTCTTTTGCAGCCGGGCTGTTTGCCGTTTAGCGAGTTCAAGCTTCATAAGCAATGAGAGCGGGGAAGGCGACAAATTGTAATTGCCAAGCTGTTTGCGCAGAAATGTCAGGTCCCGTCCACCGATTTTAGAGCCTCACAAACGTGCTTCTCACACCGAGAGGTTGAGCTGCGCACTACCGATCCGGGCGAGACGGCGGGAGAAAATGTAGGGATTTAAAAAAAATAGGAATTTCCGGCTGGAACATTTCGGGTATGAAGCTTGGTGGAACCCTTCCACGTGTTAGGGTTTGATGGGGCAGAGTTTCGCATGCAGAGGGTCGCATTTTGTTGTGCGTGGCGATCCACAAAGTAGGGTTTGGGATATGGGGGGAGCACGTTTGAGAATCTAGGCTTTCATGGCTTATAAGGAGTCCCTACCTCGAAGCATTTGGAATTAAGCAAGGAACCTTTATTATACAACGTTCCCCCAACTTCGGCAGGTGTTCACTAACTTTTCAACCCCACGAGTCATTCCGAGATGCGTGCTTGAAATCCAAGTTCCGCACCCCATGGCCGGAACGCAAACGGTTCGCAAGCTTTGGACAAAACCTCGTAAAATATGACAGACCAAGACCCTTCTTGTACCTACAAATGGGCGTATGTGGCCCCACGTGGTATTTACAGTTTAATGCTGGTCTAATGGAGGGGTCGCTTGCAGCAACAGCGGTGAAATGTTTCAGGCTTCCTCCGACCTTCCCGAAGCCGAACAACACCATTGATTTCAAGCCACAGACGAAAGCTAAAGCAAATCCAAGAGTGCTTATCGGAATGTGCTTTTACTCGAAACCCTACACCAGCAAACCCATTCGGAAGGCCCTTCAGGCCCTCGGATTCTCGAACCCAAAAGCCATCCCCTGCTTCCTACAGCCTGTGGCTTGGACACGCATGTTGGCCGGCCAAGCTGCTGTATGTAAGAGTAAGGGTCGGTTTCACTAATTCCCAAGCTTCCGTACCGACGGTCCAGACGCTGAATGGTTCTGTACGGCCCAGCTTGAAGCGTTTTTCCTGCCATGGTCAAGTTGTATGGCCTCCTGTCGTTGTGCAGGTTATCAGCCACCGCCGTTCAAGACGAGCTCGACCTTGCGTTGAAACTACTGTCAGACTTGGGTGCCCCGAGTGGAAAGTCCGTACAGGTTGAGGATGGAAGAGTGGTGAGAATTTGGGCATACGGGCTGCAGCTGAAGGGCAACATCCCGGCTGAGTTTGGCAATCTCACTGCTTTGCAGGTCCTTGACTTGAGTGCAAATCAGCTCATTGGAGAAATTCCCACTCAGATCCGCAACCTGGCGCGCCTCAAAACCCTTATCCTTCGCGACAACAACCTTTCGGGCCACATTCCCAGCGAGATCGGCGACTTGGCAAGCCTCCGTTCTCTCGACCTCAGACACAACAGGCTCAGCGGCCCGATCCCACCTGGACTGGGCAACATGACCGACCTCGTCAGCCTTAATTTGGCTCACAACAGGCTCAGCGGCCCGATCCCAACTGGACTGGGCAACATGACCAACCTCGTCACCCTTGATTTGGCTGGCAACAGGCTCAGCGGCCCGATCCCGGTGACAATGGGCCCCTTCATTTCCTTGCGGGACTTGAGTCTTTCGGCCAACCAGCTTACTGGCCCTATTCCCAGCAAGATCGGTGACCTGGCAAGCCTCCAGTGGATCGGCTTGAGTGGCAACAAGCTCACTGGCCAGATCCCACCTGAACTGGGCAACATGACCAAACTCCTCACACTGGGTTTAGCCAGGAACAAGCTCACCGGCCCGATCCCGCCGACAATCGGCCGCCTTTCTTCCTTGGTATTTTTGAATCTTGCCGAGAACCAGCTCAACGGCCAATTCCCACATGAGATTGCGGAACAGCTTCCCCGCCTTAGAGCAATCCTGCTCCATAAGAATTTCTTGGAGGGCCAGTTCCCTCGCCACTGGGGCAGTGCAGCAGGAATTCAGTATCTGACTTTGCATGAGAACCGGTTCGAGGGGCCTCTGCCTACCAGCCTGCTGCAGAACATGACAATGCTGCGCTACCTCACACTGCATTCTAATCATTTCTCGGGGTGTGTGCCCAGACTCAACTTACCCGGACGAGCGAAGGCCACACTGCACAGGAACCGTTTCAGCTGCCAACTGCCTGCAAGCCTGGGGGTCGATGGCGTGCGTGCCACTGTGGTAATGGGCAATATGGTTGGCATAGGAGACAACATCGCTGCAAACTGGGTCTTGCCGGAGGAGTTGCAGGACTTCTTATATGTCTCAATCACGATCTGGTGGGGAGATGTGCTTGTGTTGGCAGGCTTGCCGGTCGCATTCCTAGTTGTAGGCGTGGTATACCGCCAATCGCGCCAAGCCACAGCTGGCAGTACGCAGGCACTTCATTCAGGTAAGCAGTAGAGCTTCAAGCGCTTAGAGCGGACTGCTGTGCCGCGCGTAAAAGTTCTGTCATGGGTACCGGCTAAGGCGGTAATGGTCTTTGTTACAAGGCTGACGCCTTTATGAGATCCCTGTCCAACAGGTGCTTGCTCCAGAAATCCATGCCTCGTCGATGCACAGCCTGCGCCTGTCGCTGTGGATTGCTGGCCTTTGCACCCTGCTGCTGCCAGCTTACCTCCACGGGGCACGGTGCTGCGCTTGAATTGTTCAGAACCTCTTCACAGAGGGTTTCAAAATAATGTCGGGGGCTCGTTGCCAATATAGTAACAATCGTAAGAGAGTCTTAGTGATTAGTAGCAAGCAGGTACCCGAAACCCCAAACCCTCGAAATGGCACTGGCTTTCTAGTAATGGGCCCAGGTTTGAACAACAAATCTGCAAGCTTCAATCCCCTCGTCTCGACCCGCTGCTTCTTTGAGAGTTTCGTTTTGAGGGTAGGATTTATAATTTTATAAGCCCCAAATAACTTAAAAAACGTACCTAGCAACACGTGCCTCCAGCACAGGTACTATCAGTGTGGCCGGCCACTTGCGTGGAGCACAGCGGCTTACTTGGACGACTCGCCTGCGACAGAGCTCTTTGTGATTTTGGTCTGGAGCCTCGCCACTGTATTCTTCTCTGCATCGGTCGCTGTTCTTCCCAAGCCAGGCTACCAATCTGCAGACAGACATTTGGACCAGCTCGCCTTCAGGAGGAGGTTAAAGCCAGAAGCCTAAACACACACACCAAGGCGCTGATACGGTGCAAATACACAACCTCTGCGGCAGCCTAGCTCCTGTGTTGATGCCCCCCCCTTCCTTTTCACCACATTCATGCTAGTGAGGTGAAGGCCTCAGGCGGGCACCAAACAGATTCTGGCATTTCGGACGAAAGCTTGCATGGCTCCTCTGGATCGTACCAGTCACGATTGTCTCGCTACCTTCCATCCTGTATGTTGTGGCGCAGGCAGTTCTTCACCAACAACAAACTTCAAGGGTTGGGGAGTTGGCGGCTCTAGCTTCAAATCTAAAGCTGCAACTGGGGCGGTACTGGGCCCTGCGGGTGTAAGTAAAGACGTGTAGTCCACTGGTCAGGCTCAAGGTAAGAGTGTTTGGCAGCGGTGACTTTTGCCTTGTCCACCGAGCTCATGGCTTTTTAAGTGTCAGTGTCCATGCAGGCCCTTCCGAAGAACAACACCCTGGTGCCCGACTCGATCCTCAAGATCGCCCACTTCACGGCCCCTGCGCTCGTTGTCGCCTTCGACATGGTGCTGGCAGTACGCCTCTCCAAGTGGTATGCAGGTGCAGCCGGATCTTGGGAACAGACATGAACAGACGGGAACTTACACATCCCGTATAAATCCGACAGGACCGTCGATAGTGATTCTGCAGAGCCGGCTGATCCCAAAGGGCCTTGCAAGCAAAAGATGCACCTGCAAAGGATAGTAGCGGATAGTAGAGGTTTGCCTTGTGATCAGACAAAGTCGTCCTGGCAAACTACACGACCACAGCTAGACCTGAGGATACCCTCCTTCCTGCTATGTAAACCCGAAACACTGCCAGACCCTGTGAGGTTTATCTGGGATCTCAGCAGACAGACTGCTGATGGCGCTGAGGTCGTGCGCAGCGTGGCTGCTTCCACTGCTCGCAGCAGTCACTTTCCAGGAAAATTGCCTCGCAGGGTGGAAGACATGGTGGGCAGCCTGCGAGCCAGAATCTGAGATGAACGCCGCATTCAATTGGGCGCTATCAGACCTGTCAGACGGGGTCAAGTTCTTGAATACCACGACAGACATGTGCAGTGCAGATCATCGGAACCTTTGGGAAGGTCGTTGCAGCAGGTCGGTAATCGAAGCTCTGTCACCTCTAATCCTGAAGAAGCTTTTTCTTCGGACTGCTGTGCAGCCCCTTGTGGTGATCCTGGTCTGGCAAGCATCCAAACTGGAGGATGACCGGCCCCTTGACAAAGGCGGCCGACAGCTGCGGCTGCTCGGCCGGAAGACAAGTGGATCCTTGGCATCAATGCAGCAGCATGCATATTTCACCACCTTACTGGAAACTGCCATTATTTGGGGCCCACTGGTTCCCTTGGTCAGCTTGGGCGTGGCCGCAGCGTTCTTCAGCAGCGTGATGCTGCTTGAAATGGGCCTCAGCTTTGGCGTCCGCCTTCCCACAGATGCAGCCAACAGGGAGGCCGGACTGTCGCGCTCCTTTCTGCAACTTGCATTGGCCGCTAGCTGTTTTTTGCAGTGTTGGCATGCTTTCGGCATTACCATGGCTGGGCGCACGATGCTACTACTGAGCACGACGTGGACAGCTGCTGTCAGCGCTTTTGGTCTCCCGCCGCCACTGCGGCCTGCTCGCCGGCCGTTTAGAAGGGGGCCAGACGCAGACGAGCAGGAAATGACGGAGATGGAAGGGGCCAGTGCTGAATTTCCGCCATTGCGCATCTCGTCACAGGGTGTGTCGTGACAATTTCCGCGACTGGCGAAAAAGGCCTCCCGCTGGACCTTGATAGGGTTCGGGTCCAGTGTCGGAGTCTAGGGAAAGTTAGGGTCATCTGATGTCATAAGTAGGCCGTATCCTCGACTTCCGCCGGTAAAAATGTTTGGCGGCGCTGTTAATTTGTTTGTAATACTGTATCGTTATGGCTGTAGCTGTTTTCTCCACGAAGGCGAAGGCGAAGCTGCGCTAGTCTTGAGCACCGATTCGTACCTGTAGTCTAGAAGCTGGACCTCACCCGCAAGAAATACATTCTGTAATCGTTAAAGCAACCCCAATTCAAAATGCACAGTCGAAGCTGTATCTCTTTCTGGAAACCCGTAGTCGAGGTTGTCTTCCTCCAGAAGTTCACTACAAAAGCTGTATTGCCCAAAAAGCTGCCAACAAAAACCTAGTCCAAGCCCAAGCTTGCTTGTTTCGGACCCGGTGTTCGTGGTGCTTGCAGCAAAACCGCGCGTGAGCTATATCGCAGGGTCTGTTCCTCATCTTTGTCGCGTCCATGCCCGCAGCATCTCCCATGAACCATGGCCGGGCGAGCCGCCTGCCCGCCTGAAGCTGAGGGGAAGGGTCGGCAGACCAAAACGACACACGTACATTGCGGCTGCTTGCGGCACCTGTATGCGTGTATGTACTCAGCATGCACATGGAAGGTGCACTCATTGAACCAACACCTGCTCTTGTCGCCCCAAGCTCGAACCCATTCAGGCCGAAATTGGCCATCTCTGGAGGCAAGCGGGCCAGTGCGGCACGCACAGCAGTGAGGGCCCTAGAAGCTTCATGCTTTTGCACGCGTGTCTACGGTGTCACGCTCAGATCCAAATTTTCTTTCATCAAAGCTTCACGAACTTGTCTCGAACGGTGTGTTTCATGTCATGAAAACGGAGCGCTTTGTGCGGAGACGGACACCACCCAAAGACAGTATGCAAGACCTGTAACTGTATCAACATGTATTTTCCTCGCTCCGCTGAAAGAGGAACGAGCCAAACAAAAATGGACAAAGCCACCACACGTTGGGGTAGCGTGCGTTTCTGCAAGCACTGTACAACGAAATTCAGAAGTCAAATCAGCAGATTTCGCGGACATCGACGTTACGGTCGTTTCTGCAAGTCGCGGAAAGTCACGAAATGAGAGGGTGCACAATCGAAGCTTATCGAAAAAGTAATTTGGCTTGAATCTTGAGTTTTTGTTCGTTCCACCGTCGCGCGCCAAATCCTTCCCATTTCTGAAACCTATTATTGCCCGAAAAACCCGAAGAAACACTTGTGCATCCGGTCTGCAGCGACTCTACCGCGTGGCTTTTGTCCTGCGCAAAGCGTGGACACAAGTCTTTCCCTACCCAAAAACCAAATCCCTATAAACCCTATAAGCCCTATACGCCCTCAGCCCTAAACGCTAAACCCTAAACTTTCACACCGACTCGCACTATGAGTCCTCTCCTGGCTAGTCCGAGTTGTGAGAGCGTAAACTGAGCCTGAACGCTAAAAACTTTATATTTTTGAGCCTAAACTCTGAACCCTGAACCCCAAACTTCCTTAGCCTATAAACCCTAAACCCTAAACCTTTTAAACCCCTAAACCCCTAAACCCGGAACCCTGACGAAGGCCCAGCTCTGGGATCTTCCAAGCGGTAAAGCGGGCAGGGGGCCCAGCTTCCAAGATGTCCAGTACCTACCTGAACCTTCTGAAGCCTAGCTGTTTAGGGCTCCTTATTATGATTGCCGGCTTCCTTGAAAGAGAGGGATGGGGCATCACGCAGATTAAGCGCTGGTGTTTGCAGAAAGCTACAATAAGTAGCACATGGGCCAAGGCACGTCAACTCCTGTGGCGATTGCACGGGCCACAGGTTTGTTTCGAAGATGTCGTCTCGACAAGTGCCGGTCGATACAATATATATATATATATATATACACACATAGTTTATTTATTTATTTATCTATCTACTTACCTATCTGTCTATCTATCTATGTACCTAGCTATCAAGTTTTTTATCTATCTATCTTTCTATCTATCTATCTATCTGTCTATCTGTTTTCTGTCTATTTGTTTATATACCTACTTACGTACCTACCTACCTACCTGCCTGCCTGCCTGCCTGCCTGCCTGCCTGCCTGCCTGCCTGCCTGCTTGCCTACCTATCTATCTATCTATCTATGTATCTAGACCTTTCTATACCTATCTATACCTATCTACCTATGTATTTATTTATCTGTTATTTATCCATTATCTCCCTATCTGTGTTTATATCTATATGTATATCTTTATCTATAATTATATGTACCTATATAAATATTGTGAAAAAAAGTTTATTACTATTATTATCATCATGATTGTGCTTCTTCTTAGTGTTATTGTTCCTCTTACTTTTATTGCTAGCATTGCTTTTGATATTCATATAATTCTGATCTTGTTTTTTTCTCCGATTAGTGCTTTCAACGCATTATTATTGTTCAGCTTCAGAGCCATCTGTCTGACAAGCAGACATCGCCAGATGCTTGGTTTGTAGTAAGGTGCCACCAAAATGGACTTGCAATGGTATAAGGGATTTCCAAAGAGGAACTACAATGGCATAAGGTAACACCCAGAGCTACAATGGAGACTAGGCATCCCCAAGTTTGCAAGTTTCGGTTACGAAAAACCACTTAGAGTGTAGTTTGGTGCTTAAAACTCACTCTTTGGGCACTTGGACCCTTTGCGGTCTCTTCAAGTTTACAAGCGGTTGGGCGGCATTCGCGGTCAAGGCAACTTTGTTGCCGCACGCTCCCAGCAGCTATCCAAGTTGGAGCCGGGCGCCAATGTTGAATTGCGTTGGTTTGGGGTTTATGGTTTGCGGAAGTACCAGGACATCCCCAAGTACCCTTTAGTAGAGCTTTTATGGTCCAAAATACTGGGGTGGCTGGGGGTCTAGATATGTTCGTGTGAGCGACGCAACTGATTGTTGTTTGTGTTGTTGACAACTCATTAAGATTGGCACGGCCAACCCGCGGATCATCTGAGTCTTGTTGGAGACCAAGGTGATGCTGCTGTTTGCCTTTCGGTGCAGCGTACGGTTCAGGACAGCAAGATGGCATGCAAGCAAGCTCTCACTTCAGCTTCAGCTGTTGCTCTCTGATGGAGAGTTTCGATGTCGATACACTCGGCTAGAAACTTAAGGCTCAGGTCAACCCTTATAATTTTAATCAATAAAGCTTGAATTAAGAAGAAACTGCCGTTGCAGTATCTCCTTTCGCGACCTATCGTGCAGGAGCTTGTGCAGCCTCAGATCGAGCGTTTGGCAGAACAGATTGCCATGCTAGCTGGATCGGTTCGGAGACCAAGAATGCAAGAACAAATATTAAGTGTAAATGGTTCGGGCTGTATTGATAATGTTGTGCAAGATTTCAGAATCATGGGCTGGGTTAGGATGGGGGTTAGGTTTGTGGTGACATCCTCAAGGTAGGTTCCTTGTTATGGCCATAAGGCCCCATGTGCAGATTTTTAGGGTTTAAGGTTTAGGGGTTTAGGGCTTAGGGCTGCAAACCCCTCCATTATCACTGCAAGTTGCTGGGAAAGCGATAGCTTCAGCGTTTTTGCACCTCTGTCAGCAACAGAAGTTCCATGGTGCGACGTGTTGCTTCGGGTCTTGCCATTCCTTGCTAGGCTTGACTAGTGACGTGACAAGCACACCTGGGCAGATGTACCGATGCCGGTTGTGATTCCACTAGTCTTTTTGCCTAACGTCAAGCTGCATCATTTCCCCAAAATACCGGACAGTCGATGTTGGACCGCGTTTCCCCTAGGCCCAAAGCGATCTGCGGGAAGTGGAGCGACTGACGGAAAGATGGGAGGCCATCCAAGCAGGTTTCTGGACCAGGCATTCCGAGTTCTTGCTATATGCATGTTTGCATGTATGGGTGCCGTATGTATGTATGTATGTATGTATGTAAGTATGTATGTATGTATGTATGTATGTATGTAGGTATGCATGCATGCATGCATGCATGCATGCATGCCTGCATGCCTGCATGCCTGCATGTAAGTATGATGTATGCATGCAGTTTTACACATAGTACATATATAGAATCACACAATACTCATTTACATACATATACACACATCTACATATGTCAGCCGGCGCAGTTTCGAAGCAATGATAGAACTATCCATGTGTAGTTTGGTCAGTATATGGCTGATGATGCCTGCAACAGCAGCTGTAGTCAACTGGCTGATCTGCTTGAACTTGAGTGTGCACGGTGCCATCTTGAACATCCATCGCAAACTGAGCAGTTTTCTGGTGTTACTTCATGCTGCACTCTGGATGTTATGCAATGGCAGGTGCGGACAGCTAAGGCTACGTGGAATGAGCATCTCCTAGATTGTCGTGTTGCAGTACCTCTGACTTAATGTAGCTCGTGGTCAACACTGCGCGTGAAGAATGCTTGCCTTTTTGTGGGGGTTTCCTTAAGTGGCTCACCGCCACCTTGGAATTCGCACACCTGGCCTCAAGACTGAAGGACATCTATGTGATGCGAAACTGAGATCTCGAGGCCTTCAATCTTCAGCATCACGTCCCTACAACCGCCATGCCAGGCTTGGGCAGCATCAACCGACAGATCTTATATATCCTGGTAGCCTGACTCTCCCAAAACCGAAGCCATGCGGTGTGTCATGCATAATTGAAGGCTGTGTTGCGGAAAGAGGGGCCTGCCGTTTTAGGGGGTGCAATAAAGCTACCAATCCCAGTTTCCCGTCCACGGACCAGGTTCGTGCAGAGGGCCGGTTTGCAGGAATTGAGACCTGTCCTCAGGATTTCCCAGGGATGGAGGAGGCATCGAGTTTGGGGTTTATAGGGTTTAGGCAGAGTTACCGGACTTCAGACGAGGGACCGGGGCAGATGGTTTTGAGTGGGTGGGGACCTGGGTAAAAGATAGTATCGAAAGTCCGACCAAGCGGCGCCAGAGGCGAGAGGTTTAATAATATGTAATCCTGTGGATT